TAAACTACATTTTCAAAAAATACAACTTTATTTTTCTCTTTTCAGATTCACCCAAAGGGACCACAGTGTCAGTCAGTCCCTCTGGTCCAGTGCAAGAAGACACAAATGTGACACTGACTTGCAGTGCTAATGCAAACCCAGCTGTAAAGAACTACACCTGGTACAGAGCTGATGGAGGCCAGGAGACTTTCATGGGACTGGACGTGTTTTAAACATCAAAGCTTCTAGAGAGAGAGGACCTTTTTTCTGCCGTGCAGCAAATGAAGAGGAAGTAAAGATCAACAACACACAGATGGATGTTCAGTGTAGGTTGTTTGAAACATTTGCATAAATGCAGGTAGGTCAGGCTTCTTTTGTGCAGCGTTTTACAAATGAGGAATGTAAATAATCTTTGTTAATAAGCTTCGAGAAAGAGAGCCCCGTTTTTCTGCAAGGCTGAAAATAAACTGGGAAGTTTTCAATCAAACAAAGCAAATAGAAGTACATTGTAGGTGTCATTCATCAGTTACATTTTCAAAATGTATGAAAGTCTCTTTGTTTATCTTTAATTTGCTTTGATTGGAACTTCATATCCATAAAATCTTTCTTTTGTAGAGGATTAACTTTGTTGTAAATAAAGGGAGAAAAGCGTTATAGATAATGGATGGATGGATAATTTACATAGATAAAGTATTTAGTGCCTTTCTTTTAGGGTGGTGGGAGATCACTTTGGGTAATCCACCCTGAACGACCTGAATGGTAGGGAAACACTGTGTTATATATGAGGTTCTATAATTAAATTAGAGACGAGCAAATGTTAACTTTACCCCAAAAAGGTCTGCTTAGTAAGAATGTGCATATCAAGTAAAATTACAATCATTCAAATGAAATTGCTTGCGCGAGTAATATTGTATCCTGAGAGGACAAAACCATGCTTTGAGCGCGAAAAGAAAAATCACCTCGCGAGCGAGCAGGAGAGAGCACTGTAGTTACGTGCTCAGGGTGAGATTTTGCTCGTGCTCAAAGCATGGTTTTCTCCTTGCAGGATACAATATTGCTCGTGCGAGCAGATGAATTCTGCGTGAGAATGCTGTGCAAACGCTTCCAAAAATAATATGCGTGTGGCTGTTTGAGTTGCACAGATCTCATGTGCGCGCACAATTTTATTGGCTGGGATAAAACGCCATAGGTTGGGGATGGAGATGTGACATAGAAGAGTGTAGTGCGTAGTTTTCAACTGAGAGCTGAGTGAATGCGGCCTCAAGAAACTTATGAAGCTGAGAGCTGAAAACACTGAACTACATTGGTTTTGTATTGAAAATAGGCGCTGCCAGCGTTAAAAGCGCCCTCTGTGGACACAGGCCCAGAATGAAAACTAATTGACATGGAGGAACTAGAATTTTTCTTTGCCTCATTCACTTCATTCACACGCACAGCTGGTCAACTTTTATATTTTTATTTTTATAGCCATAAGCCTTCTCTTTTACTTTTGCAAATTTGATACAGCATGGCTTTACTTGACTCTCTACTTGTCTCTCTTCCCTACATCCATTACAGATGCTCCACAGATCATGTCCTCTTCTGATTGCACCAAAACTGCTAACCAGGTCAACTGTTCCTGTGAGTCTACGGGAAATCCTCCTCCCACTTTACAATGGAGTTTGGATGGGTTAGCTGTCAATCACTCAGAAGAGTTTGCAGTCAGTTATGAGCATCGAAATGGTACAGGTGTGAGCTTCATCACCATGAGTCAAGCCCAATGGAAGGATCACTTCACTGTGCTTTGTCGCAGCTCAAACTCTCTGGGATCTGTTGCTCAGCGATTTATTTTCTACAGCCTTCCAACATCTGCAGAAAGTCAAGGTTTGTCTTTGAACTGAGTATAACTTTTATTGGTAAGCGGCACATTTCACAATTTGTTCTCATAATTATTAAGTATTAACAAGAAAGCTTTATGAATGGGTAAGTAGTGAAGAAAACGTCCTCTGGAGAGCTTAAATATGTGAAAAAATGAGTTATTATTACATTATGTCCGAATTTACTAAAATAATAATCTCGTCTGAATAAGAGCTTCAACCATAATCCCATATTGTCCTTTGTATGTTTCAGTAATTTTGCCAGTCTTCATCGCCACCATTGTCGTCTTCCTGGTGCTAGTATGTGCTCTACTCTTTGTTATCAGGTAGGGTAACAGCAAATCAAACCAAACCGTACAGAATACCACTATGCAAAATATTTAAAAACCTCCTACTGGGATTTTTATTTTCTTTATTTGAGTGAAGATACAGATTCTATATGGTGTTCCTCTGGTCTTCAATTTAAAATCTTTAACATTTTAAGTATTTTTTTGGATTATGAGCAGACCAAGTCTTATCCAGGATATTTTTATTTTTCAATTGAGGCCCACAATTTCAGTCAAATGTTGTGGATCGAAAATGTTGCCAATGTATTTGTGTTATTTATAGTGTCCTCTGCTCTGCGTCTGTTTGTGAGACATAAACATGAATATGCAGCTTTATGATACGCCAAAAGGACTGGAGAAATGTCCGACCTGTGATTTAACGATGTACCACTGATCTCTTTTTCTATTTTGCTCACAGCAACTTTGGGATTAAATATGACTGAAGGTATAGTGGTTTCTTCGGTCTTCTTAGTAAATCTTATGTTCTTAAACTGAGTTCTTTCTTAACCACTCTATAGTGACGACATTACACTGTTTTACGCGTTGAGTTGGCTTCACACATTTTCCCATGTGTCCACGGTAAAACTACCGTGTTGCTCCCGTCACTCGTTTATTTTACTTAGACAGCGTAACACAGAACAATACATTTTACTTCCTGTCTCCTGATCACATGACTACTGAAGTCTTACAGAATCACAACAAACCTTCAAAATAAAATAGGAATAATCTCAGTAAATATTCCCAAAATAAACACCAAACATATCGTCTGCTATGCTCTAGCAAATCATAATCCAAACAATAATACTCAAACTTATTAATGCAAAAATGGCGCTTACAGAAGGTCTGTAGGTATTTAAAGCTTTTGGTACTTTTAGGTACTATCTAGGGCCCGACTGATATGGGATTTTTGGATCCAATACCGATATAAGGGAGAAAAGAAATCTGATACCTGATATATATCGGCCAATCTATCTTTGATCTTTAAAGATACATAGATATACACACATTTTTTGCCTGGATCCTTCAAACACAGCTTTCAAACACTTTTGGAAAAGATATATAATGAAGACAATCATTTTTTATGTTGAACAAAAGCCTTTATTGGCCAGAATAACAACAGTGCACTGAAACACTACACTTTACTGGAAGTTAAAAAATATAAAAATAAGAAACTATATAAAACTAAATATCAAATTTAAGTTGAAAGTATCAAATAAAACATGCTCCTTTCCTTTGTGAAGTAGTCCTGCACCTTACTTCTTCCACCCTCAGCAACCTGAAAAATAAAAACATAAAAAACAATAAAATTACGTATTTCTCTGGCTTTGATAACTGTTGGAAATATTAGACATAATGCAATTACTCAACAATAAAATATATAAAACATGGGTTTAGTCAATATTTAATTCATATACATATTTTAATGTGAACATTAGCAACCACATTCTACCTTATATCTTTAAACAAAAACATGTGAGAATTACAACAAAATGTTGTGATTCTATGATATTAATTATTGTAATTTTCTTTACTTATACAAGTTCAACTTCAGTGGAATCATACAATAGAAAAGAGATAAGAATATCATGAGTAATATTTAAGAAAAATAATCTTTTTTTTCCACTATCAAACACTCAGCTGCAACATCCAGGCCATCTGTGTCTACAAATTCCCTTTCTCTATAATCATCAGCTGACAAGCCTCATTCCTTTGTTACGTGGAAAAATCCCGAAAAATCTAGAATATGATTGACTGCTCATATCAACACCTTGCTGAACTGCACAGGCTGCTGCTGAGCTGGTCTGTGTTAGAACCCAGAGCTGCTGAATAAACACTAAACGCTCTGAAAAAGACGTTGGGTTTCAGTCAAGTACCCACAAGTTACTGATTTTCTCTCCCTTTATTGGGAGTAGCCTTGCATTAAGATAAACGGACTAACGTAGCGGGTCGTATTTTCCTTGAAAACTCCAGGAAGTGACATTTTATGCACGTTCTCAACATCCTCCTCACTCTGCTCGCTTACAGAGATCAACAGTACAAACTCATCACACACTCCCGGTCTTCACCTGCACAGCCAGAGGCCGCCTTCCACACACTTCTATCCACCCTAAGAGCTCTCATAGACGGACAAACTCATCACACACTCCTGCTCTCAGCTAGTGCTGGGCGATATATCATGAAGCTCGATTCGATCGATATTTAATTAATGCTTGATATGGAAAAGGGAACATGATTTTATTTTTTAAACTACTTCGAAGTTTTCTCGCGATATTTCGTTGCTCCGGAGATTTCTGCAGCAGCGCTTGTTGCGCGGAGACGAAAGGGCGGAGGAGACTCCTTCCCCTGAGTAGCCTAGCTCTTGTAAGCGGCCAACACGGAGGAGAAAGAGAAAGATGCGAGCGAGGCCAAATTACTTCCAAAAAAAGGGCACATAACGCAGGGCTCGACATTAGAACTGGCCCGCTGGCCCGGATGAATGATTGACAGATCTGGGCCAGCTGATTGCACGTTCAGCTGGCGGCTTCACTGCTGTCACTTCGCGAGCGCGCTAGCTACACTCAAATTGTACACTCGCACACAGATTTTAGCACAGGTTTTCTCTACTAAAACACACGTTTGGTAAAATGGTTTTAAAATCATCATATCCGACAAAAGCCGAGCTAAAATCAGCATTCAAGAAAAAAAAATCACCAGAAAAGTTGAGTGACAGCAGGGCATGACGAAAACTGAACGGAGAAAGTTTCAGCCACAGTGGCAGACAGCTGGAGGAGCTGGAACACACTGCAGCTAAATTTCCCCTTAAAGTTAAAGACTAGATCCTGGTAAAGATAAAAGTTATTCACAAAGCATCTTAGCTCTTATGAGAGCTCCGAAAGTAAAGATCTAAGGATGAAGAGTTTCTCACAGAGAAGAAAGAAGGAGAGAAAGGTGATCAGAAGAATTCCAGCTCTATCACAGTCTCATATTAATATCAGATTAAGTAGACTCTTACAGTTACCAGCATGGTGAATAAACAGGAGCATAAAATATGAGAAAAATACAAAATATTTTCTATAATTAGAGCTCAATTAATTAAATAAAAGTTGTAATTCACTTTTGCATCACAATGGTTCAAGAGTAAATTGGTGACTGTTATTCTTCGATCAAAATTAAAGTTCCTGGGCCAGTGATTACAATGGTCGGGTGATATTTTTTTTCATACATTGGAGATTCAGTTTTATAGGCTACATTTATAAACTTTAATACGATAAATATAGAGTCATATCGAATATCGACATTAGGCAAAAAAATATTGTGATATCAAATTGAGGCCATATCGCCCAGCACTACTCTCAGCCGAGACTGTTGTTTGTAGGATGGAGAATGAATACAGACACACAGACTCCTTCACAGACTTTCACATGTGTATGACCACTTACCTCCTCTGTAAACATCATGCTGGTAAATATCCAGTGTTTCGTGGCCGATGATGATGCTCGCAAGGGAGAGCGATCAACAGGTTACTGGTGCAGTTCGCCTGACGGCCATGCGGTGTCACTACTAACGCAGTATTTTTGAAAAGTTACATATAGCCCCTTTAACCTGCATGGAGGACCAAAGGCTGGTAGTGCTAGCACTGTGAATGCTAGCCACACGTGGCACAACATTATGATATTTTTTCTGCAGAGCTGTGATCCTGTGTTTCGAGAGCTGTGAGACATCTTAAAACAACTCAATTTAGTTTTCTGAATTTTTTTCTCAACTTTAAACTACCAGTGGGAACAACAAAACTGTTTACAGTATATTCATGTAGGTTTATACTATGCTGTTTTTTTCAGGGCTCAGAGGACTCAACACAACCTGCTTAAGAGTCAGGGTCAGGTAATGCCAGCACAGTTGCCATGAGCCAACATCTACCAAGTGGAGAAGGAAACGAGGTACTTTATCTTGGAATCCAGCAGTTTTCTACTTAGTGTGACTTACATAAGCACAATAACCAACCAACATTTTATTTTCAATTGTAGGAACCCAACAAACAGATGAGGACATTTATGTCAACACCTATGAGCTGAAGAAACCAGGTGTCACCCAACCTGCAACTACCTCTGAGCCAATCAGCACCAACTTACCAAGCTCAAGCAGAAACAACACAGAAGACGCCAGTACAAGTTCAGAGAAGAAAAACGAGGAAAGCAAAGATGTGATTTACACTAGTGTGACTTGGAGGAGCAAAGGGAAGAAGGAGGGAGGAAGCTCTGAGGACACAAATCAGTCAGGTCGCTCCTATCTGGAGGAGAAGCGCTTAGAGGGAGCATTGAATTTTGTGAGCAATGCAGTAGAGATGTTAAATCTATATGACGAAGTGAAGCCTAGAAATGTGAAGAAGGACTCTGAATGTGAATATGCTCGGGTTAAATTCAGAGAAAAGAGTGTGATGCAGACATAGCTTACAGTTCAGTCAGGACCACTTTGTCAAGAAAATGTACTTCATTGCAATTATTTATATTCAGCAGTATGGCTCTGTTTTGGGATCTCCCTGACCTTCCACGTTCTTAAGTTGAATGCGTAAGGCAGGAGCAGCACACATACCTGCCCTTCCTGTGCATACAAGGAAAGCTTTAGGCAGAGATAAGCAGCAAAGCCAAACAGAGCAGACATCAATGACATGCATGACATTGATTGATGCAAGTCATTGCAGCATAAATTGCAGCATAAAAGAGGAGCTGGGGTGGAGGAGGGCTGCAAATGTGGCTCGCAGAGGGAGCAGCAAAGAGTAGGCAGGCTAGAGCAGTTTAAATAAGCGGCATAAGAACTTTTGGCCAATAGAATGCTTTGAAGTAAATCAGCTGGCCATCAGCTGATGAGGCTTGTGTGAGATCAGCTGTTACCAAAACTCTGGCATGATAGTAGAGCGTGACTCCATTCCCTGCCTGAACTAACGCTACGCTAATTTCTATTGCTGATTTAAGAACTTTTGATATTGTTTTGCTCTCTTGAATGTATATTTCTTTTTTTTCAAAGAAAAGTTGAAAACTAGGGCTGGGTGATATGGCCTTGAAATAAATCTTAGATGTTTTTTCCACACGAACTTGACTGACGACTTTAACTTGATTTTCATTTAAAATGTGCCTCTGTTTTGTGCTCACAGTTTGGTTAATTCTTTGCATTGAGACCAAGGACAACTAGTCATTCTTCATCACCCTGCAGGTTATGGTCTGCAGTAGTTGCTGCAAATTCATTGAGGATGAAATGCCTTCAGCGTTGACACAACTTATAAAAAAAAAAAAATTCAGCTATCCAGCACAAGAGAACTGAAGTCACTATGTTTCTTCGTTTCAGGTTCAGGAAGGGAATCAACACAATGCTCTATATGTCAACCAAATTAAGTGAAGCTTTTGAAAGCCCCTTAGCAACATCTTTCAGCTATCTTCAAATTGTGTGTCTTTATACCATTGCCAAAACTACCACATAGCATATAACACAAGTGTAACAGGAAATAGAAAAGCAAACTAACATTCTGTCAGGTACAAAGCCTTGTTAAAAAAGTTAGAATTTAGAGTGCCTTAATGTTTATGTTCTTTAAGCTAGTGACAGGTTTGTTTATTAATGAATAAAAATTCAAATTTCCACTTTTTTTTAACCAATAATAACAAACAAAAAGTTAATTCGGGGTCTCAGTTGTTAATTTTGTGTGAACTTAGGAAGAACAGATGTTACTAAGGAAATGACTAATGAGCAGCTTGTGTAAATAAATGAATAAATGTCCCAGTAACAAAGGTTTGACTCGAGTCTGATCTGTTTGATGCAAGTCATCGCTTCTTTTTCACTCTAGATTCCTCTTTCTATCTTTGGCTGTTACTTTACAATATGCGCATTTACTGCGCAAAAATAAAAGAGTAACGTATGTGACCATTGATATTTATGATGCACAAAGACTCACAATACTATGGCTCCCAAATATATACTCATTTATTTGCTATAAGTACATGAAATAAAATTGTTTTGAGCCTGACAGGGAATATCTAGAGACTTTTTCGACCCAGCACCTAAATAACTGATGTGCATGTTCGCTGACTTTTTCAGCATTGATATTTACTCATATACTGATGCCTAAGGCATGTCTTATATGAGAGAGCTCTTAGTTTTTTATGCTATTTGACTAAGTAGCATGGATATTTTATAGCCTCTTTTGTGAACTAAGGGTGCATCGAATTTAAAGTTTCACAGGTCAGATTGTCACAAATCGCTTTGCAGAATGGCCGACGAATCACAATACATCTTCTGCATCTTAACAACATATCATATTCTCATATTTCATCACTTTACCCACATTGCTACCATTTTCATTATGATAATTCAAAGGCAAGTCAAGTTTGCATGTTTAAAAACAGCCTCAACTAACCAATGTGCTTTACTTACAAGGCGTAAAACAACAGCAGCTTCAAAGAAAGACAATAAAATAATATACACACATGAAGAGGGTTTTACATAAGATGACAGTGGGCCAAGTGTTTTACAGATAAAGCTGGTTGGAGTCAGGGGGCCAAACAGAACTACCTCATTTTTTACTCATTTAGTATTAAAACGTTTTGTGCCATCCAGTCTTTCGAGTAGTATTTGCAGGGAGTGGGGGTTATTGCTTTTGAGAGGGTATATATTTACATGTCATCTGCAAACCAGTGGAAGGATAAGCCGTGCTTCCTTATTAGGGAGACCAGTGGCAGATGAACAGGGAAAAACAAAAAAGAGGTGATAAAACTGAGCCCTGAGGAACCCCACAGGTGAGGGCAGCAGAGGGAGAAAAGCTGTATCCTAGGCATACTTTAAAACTTCTGTTTTCCGAGTATGATTTGAGCATATTTAGCCTGGATCCCAACCCAGTCTTTAAGCCTGGTGATAATTATTTTGTGGTCAACCGTCTAAAATGCGGCACTGAGATCTCCACTCTAAAAGTATTAAAATTGCATAGTCCCCATTGTCTACTGCTAAAAACAAATCATCAAGAACTTTTAAAAGGCTGTTCAGTGCTGTGCTTTTCTCTAAAACCTGATTGGAGTGCTTTAAATATTTGATTATTGCTTAAAAATTGATTCATTTGTTTATTGATTACTCTTTCGAGAATTTTGGATAGTAATGGGAGTTTCGAAATGGGTTAAAATTTGATCAAATGTTAGGATCTAGGTTAGGTTTTTTAAAGAGGCTAAACCACTGCATGTTTAAATCGGTCTGGAAGCATCCCGTGGAGAGGCAGCTGTTGATGAAGGAGAGGATGCTAATAATTTAAAATGTTTCTTTAAAAAGGCAACGGAGAATACAAGCAGATGTCCATGATGTGGGCTTCAAATAAAGGATTATTTCTTGCAGAGAGGAGAGAGATAATGGATCAAATCGATTAAAGAATTGCACAGCTGACCGAGGGTCTGGCTGTGGTGCAGAGGGTGGTAAAATTTGCTTTTTTATATCAATTGTTTTTTCCACAAAGAATTCTAAAAAATCTCGCAATTTTCTGTGCAAGAGACTGGAGAGATGTAGTCAGTGAGTCAGGCCCCATCCACACGTATACGATTTTTTTGAAAACGTAGTATTTTCTCTCCCTTTTGGCGTCCTGTCCACATGAAAACAATTGAAAACTGAGTTTTTGGTCACTGCAAACAAAGTCTTTGAAAAAACACATTCCAAGGTGGAGATTTTTAAAAAATCACGTTTACTTGTATTCGTGTGAACAGTTAAAACAGTTAAAACGGAGCTTTTTGTAATAGTGACGTAATTATGTCGACTTGCGTGTTGAGCATGCGTCATAACCAAGATGGCGGGCTACCAGTTTGTTTACATCTGTTCGCTGCTGTTAGTCGACATTCTCCTGGCACTTATTCAAGTGTAACTCAAAGCAGCAACTCCACTTCGTCGTCCGTCCAAACGAATGAATCGGCTTTGTGTTGTTGACTTGTTTCGCCATCTTTCCAAATTGCCGCTGTCAAAACGCTTAATACGCATGCTCGCAATGTTCTTTTACAGTGTTTGATGTGAATGAGACACAGCTATTATCGCCACCTACTGGCCTGGCATGCTTATGGCATGCTTATGTGAGCGTTTTCCATCGTTTTTGCGTTGCCATGTGGACTGAGAGATTTTTTTAAAACTGTTGGTGTGGACAGGATTTTTTTTGCAACCGGAGGGGGAGGAAACAGGTTTTTAGAAATATCCGTATGCGTGTGGACGTGGCCTCAGTGAGTTTACGGTTTTTATTAACCTTGGGTCTGTTAAAGTTTTGTGTTGTGAGATCGCATAAGTATTTTTTCCTTGCTAAAAAAAGTCCTTTGCTCAATACCAAGACTCTGTCAAAGCAGCAGCAAGTCATAAGAGACTTGGAGTTTGACTTTTTTCCATTTTCTTTCTGCCTTTCTACAGCTTCAAACAATAGATAAACCTTAAACTCCCCTTTTATTTTTAAAGTACTTTTAAAATCTGATAACATCAGACTGAAATATAAAAGGCGTGTGTGTTAAGGAACTGCATCTTCAGTTTTTGGACTGAACACACCCCTCTGTAACATAGTTTGGCTACGTTTACAGATACAGACTACAGCAGGCTGAAACGTTACCTAGTGAAGCTACTGATTGTTGTCACACACAGCCACCATCTGATCCCTGCGTGAGAGCAGACGGGGTGGAGGGAACGGAGAAAAGACGAAGCAGTGTTTGAAACAAAGAAACGATACCCAATTAAACAGCAAAAGTTTGTAATGTCCTCCTATTTGTACAGCAGGTACGACTTAAGCCTGGCTCACACTGCAGGATAATCGGATCTCAAATCGGCCTGATTCCTCCTTTCCGATAATCGTGGGGTCGCTCCCGACTCAAGACTGATCGGAACCGATTATCTACCAACATTATCTTGTAGTGTGAGTTGTAATAAAGATCCAATCTTAAC